TTTTAGATTATTTGCTAAAGTAATTGATTTGATGATGTTGTAGCTCCACCGGCCCCTAAAGAACTTATCATTGACTTGGATCACAATAAATTCAAGTGCCCAATCAAAGGCTGTGATAAATCGTTTCGTAAAGAAAGTGGGTTAGACTATCACATGAAATACTATCACAGTCCTGGAGGAAAAGAAATCAAAAGGAAAAGGTCATCAGGTAATCTGCAGTTTGTATTATCACTTTAATACTAAAATAACTCAGGTTTATTAAAAAGGGTCAAACTGTCATCTTACAGCATCAATGCGCTCAGATGGTACTCCTGAGAGTTCACCAGATGTTGCTGGTCCAAGTGTTGCTAAGCGACGACATCGGTCCTCAGCACCAGGCCAGCTCACTACTGAACTAAGCCCTGTCGACTTGTCAACATCTCCTGTAGAAGCAGATGATGTGTCAGAAGTATTAAGTCAAGACATGGAACTTGAGATTGAACCAGGCACAGAAACTGACCCAAGATATTTTGGTCCTTATGAAAGTGTCGAGGAAGAAGAAGTTACACGGGATGGTGATGTGATTCGCTGTAGATGTTTGGAAACAGAAGAAGGTGGATTTATGATTCAGGTATTGCAAATACAAAACAAGTTAGCAATGATGGACAATTTGAAAAAAACAGGTCACATTATGAAAAACAAACCCAGAAATTAAGGCCCCATCGAGTCAGATAGGTATGCGATCGTATCGTACATAAAGGTTGCGTCAAGAAAGAATGCGCATTACAAAAAAGCTTAGCTATGATGTCACCACATAMAAGAATATTTCCCGGAGGCTTCKTTATGTTATAGAAATGATCGAAAGTTATAGTGCTTAGAATGAGAAAGGGGCTTTCTCCCGGAATTGCCTCCTTCTAAGCACTATAACTTTCTTTCATTTCTATATCGTGTTTATCATAGTGCCATGCGGTCTTCATAGTCATATTCTTTGTTAGCCTTTTGTTTTTTCCCCTCCCCTCCCCCCCCCCCTCTCCACCCTTCCGTTTCCCCCTTCCCCCCTCACCAGAGCCGCTAAGCCCTATATATAGGGCGGGGATAATCGTTGGGTGTGTGATTTATGTATAACRAATTCTTGTCTGTTTAGTGTGAACAGTGTCTAACATGGCAGCACAGCGAGTGTGTAGGATTGACAGAACAGACTGTACCTTCCAAGTATTTATGTTATGTGTGTAGTAATCCCAAAGGTAAGTCTTGTCAACGATTTGGTTGTTCAACTGCAAGGCTTTTAGAATTTCKTKTTTTTTCTTTTGGCTTAAAACAATCACATCACTATCGCATCACATTCTAACAAGACCAGAATGCATTGCCCACTTTAAAGCCATAAAAGGAAAGGAAATCTCAGCAAGAGTGAAATGAAATAAGTATCGTGGTCTTATTAGTGAAATAATTCTATCACATGCAAATGGGCTATTCCCATTGTCATAGACATTTCCTTATTTTCCGTAACTTAGAATCACTCAACAACAGAGTGAAGTTTAAGCTGATTTATGTAGACATATCTGTACACTACAGTATTGATTTCTGGACTTGAACACTATGGAATACATAATGAATTTTACCTTTTGCGATAAGGATGACATTATGTATTTGTACAATCGTAGGGTGCTTTCCATTTAGGCAGAACTGGCCGGCCAGTCCACTCTATTTAGAGGTATATAATGCTTTTTGTCAACATTTTTCAGTCATTTCGAGGTTTTCTGTAGAATAATGGATAGAATTTGAAAATTTGAATTTCCTAACTAAACGGGAATGATATATAATGACATTTTCTCTGGGTCTGGCCAGCCAGTTCTGACAAATGGAAAGCGCACGTATTATAAACCATTAATGAGCAACAGTATTTGTAATATCCAAGAGCCATGCAGTCTTTAAAATATATCTAATAATGGTCTTAATCACTAGGTCTTAGACGGAGTGCTAAGTATAAGGTGAGTTCGATACCAAAAGTTCAGAAGTTTATTTGGTAGAGTAAAAGCAGTATAGTAGTATAATGAAACAGCTTGTAAAAATAGTCCCAAGGCGTAAGAGACAACTAGACTCGAATAGCAAGTAAACAATAGAATTAGCAAGGATGACTTATATAATTAGATGGATATAGCACGCATTATCGTTAATAGCCATGTTTATATATGTAGAATAGAGACATGTGTACATTTCTTAATGATAACGATCTCTACATTGCAGAATGACTTCGACTGGTTCAAGAAAGGTTCCCTTTCCAGGTTCTCGTTTGCCAGGGATAGCAAGGACAACAAGGAGTACGACAGTGAAGTATCGCTGGCAACACACGATTTAGTGGCTGATTTACACGATGTTACTCACGTTCTCAACAGCTTGAGAGTCAAGTTAGATATTCTGGGGTAAATCTACTTATAATTACTAATGGTCTTCAATGAAATAATGGCAATAGTACGGCTGAAATGGCCTGTTTACTCGACAGTACCGTATTAATTAGTTATCGTTGTTGATATTATTTTAAATGTTATGGAGGTACTACTGGTATTTTAGAGGGTTTTTTAATTCCTATTTTCATACTGCCTGGATTATGTTGGAACTGTTGGGTTAGAAACAGTGCTCATTTCCACGATAGATTATTACATTTTATTATTTAGATGATTTCTAACGCGCGCTCGCTCGCTTTCAGCTCGTGCTTCTTGACATTTTCTCGTGTGTTTCAAATRCCAAGCGTGCGTTTATCAGAGTATAAACCACGGCTGAGCCTTATTTATTTGTTAAATATCGTGCAAAATTGCACAGTTTAATATGGTCTTAAATTGGTGTTGTTTCTTGAAGGTCACCTAATCATCCAGCACTGGGAATGTGGTGTAARACTCTTGTGAAAGAAGAACATCTATCCATATTAGAAACAYCAGACAAGGATTACGGTTCATCGCTGTTAATGGTGAAACCTTTATCTAAYGGGAAACCATCGTTAACAGATCACAATCAGAACGGGATCGATAATACCTTCAGTGATACTGGACTGTTGAATGGTGAAGTCTCGATCCAGCAAAAACCTTTAGGTCTATCTGTTGATCAAAGTACTGTCAGGGYGGGTGAAGCCGACTCCGTCTCACCCCTTCCTCCTCTTGTTCCTGTTGGTGCAACGTTGATCTCTGATGAAGTGAGCGAMTCAAGTAAACTACCGGGCGAAGAGGCTCAAAATGACAATAAGTCGTCCACTAAAGAAACTACTCTTGAAGTAAAAGAGGAGAACTCTTGCGAACCCGGCGAATTACGAACTCAATTTGTCGATAAAGACAGAACAGATAGTGACTCGAGTGAAACTASAAGCCAACTCGCAATGATTAACTTGTTAGATGATGTTTCAGAGYTGCACRAMGCAGTGGAAACTAGGCTCGATGTACTGGAGAAACAGATTGAAGGTATGTTTGTCTGTCTGGATTACAATGGCTGACATTAGTCTAARCTTTGTGTTTATTTGACTGGTTGTATAGTTTCCTTCAACCCATGAAATACACATTATAGTATCCACCAAACTATAGGCTGACGCAAATCCGCCCTTCTAATGAGCTTTTTGTGGCTAGTGCCTAAGAGGCGCTMGCCATAATGTCATCGCMTTGAGTGAGTGTAATTCGGGAATAGCTCGTATTCCATTCGGTTCTTCTCGGGATAAGCTCGTATGTCCACTCGGTTCTCCTCTCGTTAGTGAGTTGGAACACAATGGCGGACAGACGGCGGCAAACAGTTTTCTCTTTTTAAATGGCTCTAAAATGTAGCTAAAACGCTCAAAAGAGTTGAACATTATGCACAAAAGAACTGATTATTGTCCAACGGACATGAAAAAATGACTGGAAAAAATCGCACGCTTTAAAGGTTGTAAATAACATGCAAATGATTTTAAAACAACAAATTTACATCAAATTTACATCATTTTGGACACTTACATCAAATTTACATCAAATTTACAACCTTTAAAGCACGCGATTTTTTACCTCCTTTAAAGGAGGTATATAATTCAAGATTATTGGCTGATTTATGCATAAAGTTTGCATTTTCTACCCGCCAACTCGAGCACAACAAGTGTTCGATGCCAAACATTCACAAATAAGAAATCATATGGATATATAAGGCTCCTACATTTACAGAAGAACAATCATTCAGTGGAATAAAACCATATTRAACCTCATCTGAAAAAATATGGATGCCTTTTTTGCGTTCAAAGTCAAATCGCGTGACCATATAACCTCCAGCACCTATGTGTAGATAGTCACATTCATTGTTCATTTTACAGAAAGTGTTTTTTGAAGAATTTGCGAAACTGTTAAGAAAAAAAATGTATATATTGAGACACGAAAGTTGATATTTGCGTCATACTATTTAGTTGTGATTACTGAGAAAACGATTTTTGGAATATACAAACTAGTTGTTATGTCACACGGACCTTGTATTTGCCAAAATGACAAGGCTTCATTAATGACAAAAGCAAATAATTTTCACCTCAATGACTGCATTTAATTAAAAAAAATCCTGCTATAAGTATAGGGCACTAGCCACATGCAGTCTTTGACTGCGTATTTTTAGAGAATGGTGGCATCGAGAAAGCGAAACTAGTCCTCAAATATCCAGAAAAGTTGTTCATGGACTATCAACTCGCAGTCTACGCGACCTCGTGATCTAACTGTAACTTACCATTTACTAATGCCCTTTACCCCGTTCGAAGCAGGCCATCGAGGTCTAACTGTCTATCTCACTCTAGTATTTGTTGTCTTTGATTCTCTTCTGTTTGTATTTGTTGAAGTTTGTGTGCCTATTCGTCTGTATTTGTGAGTAATTTTTATATCATGTTTCTTTTTTTTAGTGCTTGAGAAAACTAGTCCTTCAAATATAGCAGAAGAAACGAAGCCAGACCTAAGAAAACTGGTAAAAGATTTGAGCCGTATTAAGCGCTTAGCTCTTCATGTGGGCTGAGATGTATATATCACATACAGGGTGTAAAAAATAAAATCTATACTATTCAAAGCATTATGGGTCGTATGTCGTTTTATTTACTGCGATGATAATGACTRGTGTTCGTATTATCGTCCCAATCTCCCAAAAATATGATTTGCTTTGAGAAACTAAAACGGTGGCAAAACTCGTTTTTGGTAGGATTAGGACGATTTGGGGCGGTTATTTGGACAACTTGGCGGCTTGTTGGTATGTTTTCTGAAGGTATAATGTGTGTTATAAAATTAATSCACACTTCAGAATTTACACATTTATTTCAATTCTTATTCGAATGCCTTTTTGGTGCTTTGTAGATATATGGGTGCTTTGGTTATAATGATGTTATATGATGTCTTTCGTCTTTGTTGAATGTGCATGTTTCTGAGAAATCTTAATAATGTGGAAATAGATTTGAAGCGTAGACGTCATACAGCGTTRAACTTTTGTGCAGTTGGCGTTCACTGACCAATTACTTTTCTGGTCGAAAAATASACTATAGACCTAGGCACAAATGTTGCAGGTTTTTGGACAATAATTYACTAGGAATTTTCTCATTCTTGCTCCACGAGCTGTAGAGCACTGGTAACTGTGTCTTCTGCAGTAGCTTCCAGCGATGGCAGAATTGCGGCATGCTGCAGTCAATAACAGATACAAGTTGTGATTAATTTATACATACACAAGTTTCAAAATCGTTGTCCAATTTGTGAAGACATTTTAAAAGTAGTTTTCCAATAGTAAATAGGAATCAACAGTTTAATTTTAATATTTCCATTAGAGTGAATGGAAAGCTSCAATCACKGAAGTCTTTTCAGGGGTRATACTTCATGGTTGGCATGCCCATCGTCAAGGACTTGGCACCCATTTTAGGGAAAAACAGTTTCGAAGAGCATCACTGTCGTTCTTCTTCAAAGATAGTCCCTACCCATATATTTACTGTAAAATACCATTTATACCTGGGCATTCGATTCCTGGTCGTCGTAATGGTCCTGTAGCTGAAGATTTATCCCAACAGCATCCRAATTCACTGGAACTRCACAAATTTGGGGCCAGGTGTGCTGTCGATCGAAAGCACAAGAGACGCAGTAAGGATGCGAAGTGTTTTCCGAGCCCACGGCATACGCAAAATATTAACACAAGCATATTTTTGCGGTTAAGGCGCTTTTGGCTGAAATATCCACAAATAGGACTAGAATCAGTCCAGTTGCGGAAGTTTTCGGTGGTTTCGTGTAAACGGCACGACTTAAATGAATAATTGAAAATATCTTGACTTGATACGTGTAAATGTGCTCTAATGGACTGGTCTTCGAATGTTCTTGAGTCGATTGGCCTGGTGCGGGCGGCGCGGATTGTAACTCTGTGTTCTTTGAAAATTGCACTCGCTCACTTTCAAGGAGCAATATATATATTCTGTCGAGCATGGAAAGAAAATGACTAGTTTGCACTAGTTGATGTTACAAGAAGTTTGAAGTCAGAGCTGACRCACTAAATCCGTCAACAAATATTCATTACTACTRATAGCRTTGGTTAGAGGAGGTGATTAAACCCGTGAAACGAACTTACTTGACCATTTTAAAAAGTGTGATAGTCAAATAGACACAAAACAACGCAGTTGTAGAGTGTACTAAGGTGTATTARTGTAATATCTATTTCACAGGTTTTCTTACTTCACTCTAAACAAGARAGTGGTTTTCATTAAACCGTGAAATAAGGTGCAATAGTCAGATGTAATGAAGTTCCACTGAAAAGAAAGAACAACGTGCAAAACATAGACTAATATAGAGAGGTACGCTAAGGTGTATTTCACGGGTAAACGAAAATCTCTAAACAAAAAGAATTAAATACTGTCTGATGAGTGCGTAGCACGAAACTCGGAGTTACAGCAAAATCTTGCCTCTTTGATATTATATATAAAAAAAGAACATAAATTTCTACAAGCTTACTGCATCGATCGCATGTTTTGGCACAGAGATTTGTCATCCTGTCGTTAGTAACATAGTCTGTATCACCATATTTTCCCTTGTTACAGCTACCCTTYGTCTTCTCTCGGAGACACTCGTATCGTGGGATGAGATCGATGCACAAAGCCACTACAAAAATGGTTCATGCCATGAATCAGTTAGGATTATCAAATTTCTATCAACATAAAAATGAAAATARCATTKGTTGTCCCGTATCAGTAAGAGTGCGCAATACACATTATGCAAATATATTAGGTTATTTCAACAAATATTCTCCGTTTTGGGACCTCAGAAACAATGACAGGATTACAAACTTTTTTTTCTCTGTAAACCTTTTCAATGACACAATAAAATACTCATTATCTCGACGTAGGCAATAATCCACATATACATGTTATGGCTAGTAAATAAAATAACTTCTACTGAACATTTAGAAATTTGTCTCTATCGTTTCTATGATCACTGACTCACTACAACTGGAAAATCTGACGGCKAGGGAGAATGTTTTRCGTGGCAGACTTTTTTATTTGCGATTTTAGCTAATTACGCTCACTGGGTTTATTGTAAATAAATATTTCTTCGGTTATTGAGGACAGTTCGAACATTTATAGCATTTGATTTAGTTATTTAATATTTGACCACAAGAGACTAACCTCCACACCCTTTCATGTTTCTTCMCTCTGCTTCTGTCTTTCCATCACTGCAGCATCCATGTCTGCTGTTTTTGMAATCAGTYAAAACTGGATAGAAATGAAATTTATAAAGCTGTTGTTTGTTTATTTTTGATCAATGAATGTTCCATTTTGACAGGCTTTGTTTCAGGAGGCTTGAAATTCCCGCGCGCGCGCGTCCGAATTGACCGTTGGCACAACTGAAGGAACAACATGCTAAAAATACCCTTTTTTGCCAATATATTTCATTGTTTTAATATATAAAAAAAACTTGTATGTAATTGTTCAGAGCAACGCTCAAACAAGAAAAACCGCTAACGCTTTGAATTATTATTTTGCTTACAACGATCAAGCGCAACCTTCCCAAGTCGCCGGTCTTTACAACATGGCTACAACTGTCGTGGAGATACAAARTAATTGATTGATTGATAGCCCTACTTAAAGTTGTAACCTAGACATGTTGTAAGGATGACTTTTAGGGATGTTGTATGTGATGGTTGTAGGT